GCTGCGAAGCAACGGCACTAACCAACTGCGCCACCCTGCAGCCCCACCATCAATATCTGTGTCAGATTTTCCACCAATATGTAGTCGTGTAAAAAGCAGCACTGAAACATTTGATTTTAAAAAAAGTGAAACCTCTGCCACTCAGGATGTCATATTTAGAAGTGCAAGGTGAAAAAAATCTGAGTTCATCTTTTGATCACAACATCAACCTTTTGTACAAAAGGGGATATTTGAAATATCCAAGTTACTCATTGAAGCAACTGTCACAGAAACCCCCAGACTCTCACACATGACACAAACTCACTGACTGTGGAATGCGTGTTTGAGATGTTTGTGGTGATTGGCCTTCATTGAAGTACAGCATGCATTTGAAGTCGAGTTTCTTCCTGCATTTGATCCTCCCATCAATTTCTGTTGGCTGTCTTTTATTTTCTAGATGACAGCAACTGTCCATGTAAACAGACTTTGTTGAGCCTCAAAGCAACAGATGGCTGATCTACATTGTATCCTGTGGCTGACTGGTTTATTAGCCTCACATCAAAAAAATTGCTCACTGACTCACAGTTGTTGATCAGTCAGTATTCCAAGAGAACCAGTCTTGCCTATTTTACAACATTTCACAGCTCATATGGCTTTCAATGGGAGGCATGCAGAAAATTTTGAATATGTGCTCGTGCTTTAGTGAAATGCCATTGAAAGGTGCCAAATATTGGATCAATACCTTCCTGCTGTGCTCTCTAGATAATAGACATGTGCACACACAGGTGTTTTGTTGTTCCTCGCTCCTCCATCAGTAAATATTAACCTTTCAAAAAGCTATTCAAGCAGGACCAGTCGTGTCAGTGTTTGTTGCCAAACATCTTTGAGCCAGTCTGGTTTCCTCATCAGTTTGCATGATGCTGTCTGTCTGTCAGCGTTGTTGTGTATACGGTGCTTTCTCTGTCTTTCTGCAAAATTGCAATGACACCACATGTGGCCATTGAGTTTCCTGCCATTTCTCACATGGTCGAGAAATCATGTAGCGATACTTACATCTAGTAACATGCATTGTATTGCAGGTTGGAACCTGTGCTCTCGTAGCAAAGACTTTGACTCCCTCTTGTGGAAGAACAGGGGAAATGTACCTAGCATAAAAGCTAATGTCTGTGTAGTAAGACATTTCATTTAAGTTAGTCATTTTTATCCCAAGGACAAGAAAAACAGGACAAATAACCTAATAAATTAATATAACTTAGGAACTGGGTTACAGGGATAATTACGTGACAGCTGTGTCTCTGGGGATGAAAAGTAGGATGGTTTTGATGAATTCCAATTTAAAAGTGAGGGATTTTTGAAGCATTAAAACTGTCATAACTCACACTCGCATTCCTTTCCTGACACTGATTTATGCTGTAAACACTTTTTTCCCCCCTTTAAAATAATCCCTTCTTGCCCCAAAATGGCTAAGATGTAACTCTACACTGTCTCTCCTTTAGAACAACATATCTATTAAGTCCCTGCCTCTCCCTCCAATCACACCTCACCACTCAGTGCAGCTGGAGCACACCAGCTCAGTCACTGTAAAACAACTTTCTACACAACGGGAAGTTGTAATATCAGAGTAATTCAGTTATACATGTCCGAACCAGAAACCAAAGAAAAGTGTCACGCTGCAGTTTGGCAGGATTGGTTCCGACGGTTTGTTGCCTGTAAAACCCTGAAAGTCTGAATCTGTGCTTTTAAGAATGCAATAAATACACTAAAGTTTTGAAGTGAAACAACTGAGCTGTTGTTTTAACTGCTTATTTCACTCATGATGTGTCTTCTAGTATATAAAGAAACGTCATATGGACATGTTAAGGTAACAAACTGAATTTACTACATTACTATTATTATTCTTACTATTATTATATTTACCTAATATTAAGTATTTACTATGTTTAATACTATAATTTACTGTATACATACAAAACTTAATGGTATTAGGTTTTTCATTTATTAAAAACTATATCTGGATACATTTGGATGCATGGCCTTTTTTTTTTTTTTTTTAAAACAAATTTCACGTTAACTATGTTTACAATGGTAGATTTCCAGAAGTTAGACCATAAATATGTTTTCTTTACTGTAATCAAATTGTGTATTTTTAGCAACTGGTGCCAAGAAGGAAACAGAAAAGGCTGTGAAAACAGCTATAAACATTTTTAAGCAAATTTATTACTGCAGAACAGTTTTTGAAAATTCCCACAACCTCAAAGCAATTTTCTCAGTACTGCTTCAACATTTTAGCCCTGCCTCTGCTTGTGTCTTGGATTTGTCTTGCAAAACACAAATAAATGTCCCCTCCGTCGTACAAAGAAACAGTCTTTGCAGCGCCTCTTTAGAGCAGTCTTGGTTTTCATCCCTGCAGATGGCTGGGTGCACGGGAGATGCTGGCACTGGCCCAAAAGAGATGGGCCACAGTGAGCAGAGGAGCCAGACGAGGGAAGCTGGATGGAGCTGACTCTGGCTGATGAGAGCAGTAGTGTGTGAGGTGCAGCGGTAAGCGTGCAGAGACATCTGTAAGCACTGGCTGCCGATGAGGAGAAGGTCAGATTTAAGCGGCTCATCCGGGCCACTTGCAGACTCAGGGAGGTGGCCAGGTGTTTAAGAAGGAGAGGGGCCATGGCATCAAAATCTGCAGAGAGTTTTGCAAAACATATATTTTTACATGTATATATTGCCGTTTGGTTAATGCGATTTCAGATATACAACAATGAGACTAGTAAAGTGAGTAACATTGATCATCTTGTTACAGTGCAGTTTTGTTAGGAGGCCTTGGCCCGAGACATACATGGGATGTGTGGATCAAGTCCAGTCCAGGGAGACCCAAAGTAACCACTTCCAACATCCCCGACCCAGATTACACAGGATACACACAAAGGTGTCCATGCAATTCAGAGCTTGTCTGGCAGCACAAGGAGAACTCACAATTTTAGGCAGCTGTTACTTTACTGTTGTGGCTGATCTGTGGAGTGTTTAATGACTCAAATATTAGTCATTAATCAAGAGAAAATATACAATCCACAAAGCAAGCTGAATATCTTTGGGGTTTGGACTTTTGGTCACGAAAACTAGAAGCACTGAAGAATTCACCTCCGGCTCTGGTATGCTGTGATTAGCAACTCTATACAACTTTTATCAAAGATGAACCATCGATCAATCTAGAAAATAATCAGTAGATGATTTAAAACGAGGTACAAGTGTTGGATGCAGCCTTATTGTGACGTTTATTTATTTCGGTTTTCAACAATGCCCTAATGAAATAACATCCCTACCATATTTTCAGAAATTAACAGTTTTTCCAAAAACGCATTGTTATAATTCATGATGAGATTAATTATTGCGTTGAAGCAAAAAACAAAAAATAAAATCACACTTTGTATTTTGCTGTGCCGTTATAAATATCCCCGTTATATATTTACTGTCGAGACAAAACTGCTCAGTTTTTCTATGAGCCATGTATAACCGTAAAACAAGATGCAAAGACACAGAAGGGGTCGTTTGTTATCTATCTTGTCTAAAAACCCACGTTAAACACCACAGCCCGATGCCACTGCAGTAAAGCGCTGCAACATGCCAAGGAGACGAGCGTGACCTGCTAGCTTCAAAGCTAGACGGTAAAACGGTTCACACATTAGTCCTGGACTGGACACAGACACACCCCGAAGCCAGAGAGCGTGAACAAACCTTTCAGAAATTCCTAGAGGGTTCTTTACGGGGGTTTATACCCCTAAATGCTGCGTCTTAATCGCCACAACACGACCTCGGTGATAGTCTTGCTTGTGAGTCTCACACAAATGCTTCCGGGTGTAATAGACGCGACATGAGCCCTCAGTTTTGCCTGTCAGGGAGTTTCCCTCTCTTTCTTTGGGACGATTTAGCTCTCGTCTTCACTGTCACAGTCTAAGTCCAACATGGCCGTAGTTTAAGTTGTTCAAATTTATAGTGAAATACTGCTTAAATACCATCTGATACTGAGACACACAGCAGAAGCGCTGTGTACCTGACAGACAACCCTCGGAGGATAAAATTTCCCGTGAACCTTTCTCTGCAAAGCATCTTGGGTAAAAGGCTGCGGTAAACATGGCGGCCGCAGTGGGTAGAGTTCTGTCCTTCAGTAAAAATGCTAAAGTGCTGGTTTCTCCTTTGAGGCTGACTGCTGTACCTGCTCACCGCTACAGCGTAGATGTCTCCAGCACCGGTGAACCCATTACTCACACCGGACAGGTGAGTTTAGAATTGAATCTTTGTTATTGGTATTAGCGGATTAGCGTAATGTTAGCTAACCTTCACTGTAGCTAATATCTCCGTTAGGTCCATTATCGGACAACACTACATGCGTCTTAGCTTCTAATTATTTCTTTAGGACTGGATATAGCTCGTTGATGTAATTCACCTGATATCCAAGGGATGTCAACAACTATTTTATTTGAAAGAACAACTGATGCTAGTTAGCACAATAGTTGCCACCGACCCCTAAACTATTTAGCAAACGTTACTCAATGCATGACTTTGTTTTCCTCTCAGGTGTATGATGAAAAGGATTACAGGAGGATCAGGTTCGTTGGCAAACAGAAAGAGGTAAGACGTAACCACCACCACAGCGTACTGAATTTCAGATTTGCTTCTTATATAGAGCTAAAGTTTATAGTGGGTATAACCACTTTGCAACGAGGCTGCTGTTTAATACTTGCTTCACCCTACCTACCTCTTGCGTCATACAAATTGTCAGAGGTCGATGTCTTTATCTGAAATGCATTTTGTTCTTAATGTCGCCACATGCTTAATCCCAAACTTAAATACTATTCCAGCCTCTGTTGTTGGTCTTAGTGGTGAAAAGTGTTTGTAAGGTGGGCATCAAAATAGTCCGTTAACGCACATTACAGTATCAGTGTGTCTGTCTGTTACCTCATTTTATCTCAGAGATAACAACAGAATTCTTCTTTCTTCTGTTAAGGTGAATACAAACTTTGCCATCAAGCTGGTGGCAGAGGAACCAGTGAGTGACATTGAGGCCAGAGTGGTGTCCTGTGATGGAGGTGGAGGAGCTCTGGGTCACCCCAAAGTCTACATCAACTTGGTAAGAGCCGACTCATACATAAGACAAAATGACTGAAATAGCCAATACTATGCTTTTAGAGATTTCCCTTCGCTGAAGTCCACACCAAAGAGAGTTACTCTCTCCTCCAAAAAGCACTGATCCTTACTTACTCCGTGACTGAAAGACATCTATTTAACACATTTGCATAATGCCTGAATGAGAAACAGTCTGCCAGTATTTCTTCACTGGAGCTGTTTCTGCGAGGGCTTCTTTTCTGCCTGTACTCAGAGATCTGGGGTTACAATACACAACCAGTGTTGCCTTGCTTTTGTTGGGGCAGTTGACCAACAGGAGCTTAAACAAAGTGTTTGATTCAGAGGTAACTGGTACTGCACAGTTAACCTGATCTGGATATCTTTTTGTTCAGAGTTTGGGATTTAAATCAGCTGTGCAAAGTAACAGGCTAGTTATGGTTCCTGACCATATTCTCTGAGTGATACAGAGACTTAGCTGAGGGAGTACATCTGAAAACCTGCTGGGCTCTATGTTAGTAATCCTGCTAAATGAAATTGTGCAGTTACAAAGTGCAAACTGTGTGCGTTGCATTGCCACAGGAACATACACGGTATTAGCTGGAGATTCAGAAAGTGCATAAACATGTTTATTGGTTGATCCTGATTTTACGTGAAGTCCATTTTACACTGCTGATACTGCAGCTAATAGAACAGAACAACAATGAGATTAGACACAGATTAGAACATTGATTAAATCTACATTAAATTCACTTTGACTTGACCAAAAACTAAAGCAGTGTCCACATATCCTTCATTATGGACAGTGTCTGATGTGAATCAACTTCTTGAGTATTATGTTTAATTGTATAAAGTTTAACACCTCTAATGTGACTCTGTCACAACAGAAATAAGCGGCGGCTGCATTAAGAGCCACTGAGGGATAACTTTAACTTACACAATTACCTGCTGTGTACCTCTTCTCATTCCTCTACCGCATCATTTGCAGTTGCAGCATTTTTTTTTTACCTCATAGCTCTCCATTATAAAAACCTGTTCCGCTTTAGTGAAGTAGGCAACATGCGATCGGTTCATTTTGTGTGGAAGAAGAATCACATTGCAAATCAGACGCTCTCTTTTGTGGAAGCATACACTGAACACGAAGAAGAAACCCTGGATTTACAAAGACAGTTGAGAACCACTGTCACGATAACCATTATTCCTGATTGGAGTTTTTGGTTTTGTCAAACCAGCTTGCACAAAAAAAGCCTGGCTATGTCAAACCTGTGTTCCTCGTACAACCCTCAGGAGACCAACCGAGTACTGAATGTATTATTGGAATGAATAGACTCATAGCAAAAACTGTAATGTTATTGCTTTAATCATCAGCTTGTATCATTTTGTAATGCACACATAAACTGGAGCCTTCTTCTGACAAGCTAATCTGTGCTTCTTTTGTACTGATGTTATCACCTTAACAGCTGAAGTGATGTAAAGGTCTCACACTGTAAACACCAACTTTGCTATTTTTGTTTATAGGATAAAGACACGAAAGTGGGCACATGTGGCTACTGTGGATTACAGTTCAAGCAGAAGCATCATCACTGAACCATTACTTCTGTCTGTACTCTTCTGTATAAATTGCCATATTGGTTAATAAATTATGTCTTGTCCGTCTGCCTGTCTGAAAGTGTTTTCTTCTTGGTAAAGCCTACAGGAATAAACACTGAGATAACAGTGTTCTCCACTCTGTCTAAAATGTTCCAGTCCACATGCTTCTACAATCAAATATGTTTGAAAATACATTTCTTTTTACATGTGATAAATGCTCCTGCAGTAGTTCAACGTTCTGTGATTTTGTTTGATCAGATGCAGTTCTGCTCTGTGACAGACAGAGGTCAGCAGTGTCTTGCAGATGTTTGTAACGCAGACAAAGATGGTGAAAGACTTTCCCTTCAGACATAAAAAGCCAAGTTTTATGGATTTTCCAATACAGACACTAAAATGATTTGTGTGCAGTAAACTTTTATTTGGTCTAAACCCATAAAATGACAACCGTTACAAGTGGCACTGCGCCTCAAAACTGTTCCCTGCTTCACTGTTATCAGCTGGAGTCGATTGGATATATTTCTTGCCTGCACGAATAGCCGATCTGCACTTATATGATGAGTGTTGCCTCTGTTGTTTACTGTGAGGAGCGATGAGAGAGCCTTAGCATTCCTTTTGCATCGGCTCCCCACAATCTGCGTTGTAAAGTCTTGCTCTGCCAAGCCTGGAAGATACCAGGAGGGAGCCAGCGTGATAAGACACAGCAGCGCGGAACAATACATGTTTGAAGAAGATCATATATATATTTCATCAGGCTTATTCTCCATAGACCTCTGCATGCCAAATTGGCCTGCGCTCGGCTCAGGCTCCAGACAGCACTAGCCTGTTCTGTCCCCAGTGATGCAGCCAGTGGAACTGCATTTTCCACACCATAGAGCTCAGGTTGGGAAGAGTTGTCAGGCTGATATAATTGGCCCTGGTGACTCCTGGAAGTGAGGCTTATGCTGTAGTTAACCTCATCTATAGTCAGACCACAGTGGATGATTGAAGGGGAGAGAGGTGCATTGTTAAAATGAGGCAGGCGAGCCGGGTCAGTGTCAGAGAGCTGACTGGTTGGTCTTGCGGTTGGTAAGTCTGAGTGGTTCAGAGGTGGTGGTTGGTTGAGTTGGAGGCGATGCCAGGGGCAAAATCTTCAGATGAAACTGAGCATATGAATTGTGCTGAATTAAACAGCGCAGTGTTTTTGTGCTGGGTTTAACTGCACTCTTTAATTATTCACTGCCCTTAAATGCATCACCCAGCATAGTATAATATCCTTCAACATCATACGCATATGTCAAGTAACTCCAGATTATAAAGGTGGACTCATCCAATTTGCAGACGGACTCACTCATGGGTTCAGTTTTGAACTTTTTAAATCAGCACAGACTCTACCGCTACATCCAGTTTCCCCATTTCTTTCTGCATAATATTAGATAATAATTGCAAATACAACCCTTAAGCATAATATGACCTGTACTGTTGGGTCAGACCATCCAGACAAAGATGAGCTCAAATGAGACTGTAATCATATTGAAAATGTCCTCACCGCTGAGCCTCACAATAGATAATGGAGTTAAATGCCATTGAATTCCTTAACGCAACGTCCCTCCACAACAATCGCTCACTCTACACAAAACATTCTCCTCATCGCTGTAATTGCCCTATTAAAATATTTCCTCTTGAAGATGTGTCACATTACAGGCCCTGAGGCTCATTATGGAGCTCCCTGCAGCCAATTATCTGAGACTCCATGTCTGAAAGCCACTGTGACCAAAAGGGGCTCACAGGCAGATCTGGGAGCAGCCCGTCCTCCTCAAATCTACACTTACTCTATGAGAGGCAAAACAGAAAACTGACCTTTGGTCATTGTCTCGGGGCGACTCCACTCAGCTCCACTTTAGAGTCAGGTGACAGAGCTTCTGACCTTTACCATGGAAATAATGACTTGTTCTTGTGCCAGGAGCTCAGAGGGTTACGGCAGGGAGCGAGACACCTCTGGCGACATGTGACAGTTTTTGGAGGAGAGAGTTTGCACTCAGCACTTTGATAGCCCCGGAAAACCAAAGTGTGTGTGACAAGACACAAGAGACTTAGAATTGAGTGTATATCTATGCCAGTGAGTGTGTGCGTGTTTGAGTACGCAACAGAGACACAGACCGTGTTGAAAGGAAATAGGTGTCAGACAGAAGGTGCAGAGAGGAGTAATTTGAAGTTGTCAATACTTCCTATGCAAGACATTCCGCCTGATATTTTAAAAGTACAAGTGATTCAGAAAAAGGCTCGCGCTGTGTAAGGGAAAGATAATAATATGAAGAAACAATAAATGTTAATAGAACTAAGGCAAAAACATCCACTGTTGGCTTTTTTCGGGGTCAAATAAAAAGCCCTTTTGCCTATCGCCTCTGTGTCCCATAAGACACAAAGAGGGCCAAGCAACTCCTGGTGCTGTGAGCCAGACAAGTAAACAGTGGGTCTAACATTCCCCGACCTGTGCAGCAACACACTGAGTCTTAATCACATTATATGGCCCAGGGAGCAGGCCTTCGTGTCAGACTGGGCTGTTGAGTGGTTCGCTTGTGTGTCGAGAGCAGACAGAGGTGAGGTGAGACGAGCGGAGGGAAGGAGGGAGAAGATGAAGGACCGAGGGGGGGAGAATGAGAGACAGATGTGGGGAAAGAGAAGAGGCAAGGGAAAGGGAGGAGATGTCTGAGGAGTGAGGAGAGAGAAGTCTGGAGTGGTCAGTGGAGCACGATAGAGGTGGGAGAAACATGTAAAGTACGAGCGAGGGATCAGCCGGGGTTCTTGTTCCGATACTGTTTTGATACATTACATGTTCTTCACTCATTGTGGAGCACTTTCTCCAAGAGGAGTTATTTGGAAAACCTTGTGATTTAGTAATGTCACAGTCCAGAGCAACGGTTTTTTTAAGTTTAGGATGACCATGCTCTGATTTTAGGTCAGCTACGAACAAAGAACGGAGTAAGATGAGCAACATGCAGCCAGAGTATGTTTATAGTGCTTGGCTATAATCAGTATTTTAATCTAATTGCGTATCATGACAGCTTTCAGTCATAGTGATGAACCTACATAGAACTAGACTGTTCAGGTCTTCTCAGCTGCTTCGTGTTTTTCAGCTCGCTAAAATTTTAGCCTGTGCTGCTTCAGTTCAGTCTCACGGTTCTCATAGTTTTTCACCAAATCAGGAAGCTGCTTTAAGTTTTAAAAAAATAAGTAAAAAAGCTTTAAAAACCAACTAAATAGTAATAATAATTAAAAAAAAAACAAGTTTAATGGAGTGTTGATCAGCTAAAGAGACTGATATTTTTCTCAGTAGTTGGGGGAGACCAAAACAAAGCAAAAAAATAAATAAAAGAGTATTAAACTTCATAATGCTAGTACTACTACAACTACTACTAACTATAATAGTAATAATAATAATGCACTTTATTTATTTGGTTCTTTTAAATAGTAAACTTTAATGTGTAAATAAGCAGCTGTTTGCTATACACACTGCCCTGAAGATGCTGGGAAAAAAAATATTGCTGATTTAAATTTCATTTCAAACCTGCTGTGACTTTAAAATGTAAGTATTTTTTGGACATTACCCATAAAATAGAAACTAGTGGAATGATTTTAACAGCGTTACAGAAACAAGTGTGCTGTTAACTTAAAACTTAAAAACATTTTTGACTGAAGTTAGAGCAGATTTAATGCAATTTATTAGGTATATATAGTGTGTGGTCCTTTGCAGTTATTCTCCACCTCTGTGCTCAAGAGAAAAGTCTCGTCTCAAACAGCTAAGAGTGAGAACAAATATAACCTGATATCTCTTAACCCCACTCAGCGCTGAGCCGACCTCTTATCGGACTGCCATTCCACATCCTTCACCAGACTACCACCTCGTCTTCTGAAGTCAAATCTACCTCAAGTTGTGTTTTTTAAGAAAATGAAACAATACTGTATCAGTTCTGGTACATTAAATTTAGATAGAATAATGCAAATGGAAGAAAAAAAAGAGAGAGAGAATAAATATAAAAGATATATATGCAGCCTACCACAATGAGATCCTGTCTGCCAGCAAGTGAAAGAAAGAAAACTTTACAGAAATAAGAAGTCAGATGTCATTATTTATCATCTTAAATCTTACTTATTTATGAGGCAGAAACAGAATGAAATTCTCGGTTGAATTCATCCTGAATTATTTAATCTGAAATGGTTAATTCCATACAAAGCCCAGGCAGATCCCTCCTCTGTTCTGATAAATACTTTATCACTGTTCCTAAATCGAAAACAGGAGGAGAAAGATGTGGGTGAAAAAGAAAAAGAAGAAGAAAAAACAAAAAAAAAACAACTTCTCACTGTTTCTTGTTGTGTTTTATAAAGCATCAGTTTAAATGTTTTGTGGGCTAAAATTTGCAAAGTTTTCTTTAATAATTAAAGTTGCTGGGAATGTATTTTTCTAAATAAAACATTTAGGTCTAATGATGCCAGCTTTATTTTTATTGTAGTGATGTTTTTTATTGTTGTCTGTGTGAAGAAAAAAATGTTTTAAAAATGACCAGAGCGGATAAAGATGTGACGCTTCCTTAAAATGACCTAAGAGCTCGTATGAAACATTTTGCTCGTGGTGGATTTTCTTGCAGTCCCAGGTCGCCTAAGTCAAAAGACGCCTAATGAAAAGGGACGCATCGCTGATTGCAGCTATATCTGGAGCCGAGGTGGAAGTGGCATCGATTTAACAATTTAGCAGCACCCTCCTCTGTGTGTTTCCATTAGTCACGGCTGAATACCACCCACTTTCCCCCTTTCACTTCCTCCAAACACACACAAACACCCTCCCGCACACACACATACACACATACCCAAAGCTGCGGAGGTATATTCCTTCTAGTCCTGAACAGGATTTATATCATCTAAAGTGATCCCACTATTGGATCCAGTGCAGCGGACAGCTAATGTAAGGGGCACACTCAGAGAACTTTCGCCAAGCTACGGAATACACTTTTTATTTCTGTGACTCAGTGCATGTGCAGGCTATAGTGCAAGTGTACAATACTGTATATTTTTCAGGTGTGTGTGAACCGTACATCCTCACTGCGGGGGGAAGTGCGCGGTGACGTCCGATCGTTGATGAGCTTCGTAGGAGTCTGTAGGTTGTAAGACAGTTGGGGAATATCAAATTGCCGCTGCTAATTGACCGTTCGCTAAACCCCTTCGTCGAATAACAATTTTCCAATCACGGCTTAGCGATCGTAACTAAGCACAGCTGCTCTATCTGGTTTTGTATTTCTCCACATGTTGAAGCAATGTGCATGGAAGATACTCTGCATGTGAATAATCAAAAAAACCTACGAGAAAGGGTTCAAAGATGGATGGAACTGCTCTGACGGAGTTGCTGGCTCGTCGCATCCTCAAAGCCTTCATGTTGTCTACTTGTATTATCAGCTGGTGGTGATGCCAACTTTTCGCTCTAGACGTGAAACTTTAGCTTTAGATGTCTTGTTTGTGGTGTTCAAATGCATATTTCAGATTCTTGTTTTAAACCACATTAAAGTCAGCTGGACTTGTGGATTTTAACATCTGGCTCCACAAGTTTTACATTGTTCATTTTAGGACGCACAATCGACAGCTTGTGGACTAAAAATGAGGATCCTGCTTTTGTATACTTTTGCCTGAAACCAGAAACTTGGTTGGTGTTTAGCGAACGGTCAATTCATCATGTCACCCAAACAAAATATAGACTTTAGTCCAGCAGTCAAAATGTCCCACCGACGATGTGTTGGTGGACTACAAAGATGACGTAGGCCGAACAATTTCAAAGGATTGTCCGGGTGTTCTGCTGTCTATCGCTGCATCGTTTAAGCCCTTCCACACCTCGGCCGGTTTGGGCTGTTGGAAAGGAGGATCGTGGAAAACTCCGTCCACCCATTCTCTGAGTGTAGCGACCGGTGACTCCTGTTGCCTGTCTGCCTTGGTGAGCGCCATGTTTGTTGGATAGCCGGGTGAGGACGAGCCGGCCGATGACAGCATACAAGGAGGGTATTCTGGCTGCAAGCTGGTGTCCAAGGACACGGCGGTGTGAGCAATGGACCAGATTTTCGGCTTGGCGTCTGTGTTTCGAAGGTCTGGATTGAGATAGAAGGAGCTGTTTTGGTGGTGGACCGGTGTGAGTTTGGGGCAGTCCGGGGACAGTCTCTCTTTTCCGTGCAGCGGGTCTGAGTTGTGTGTGAGATGCCCGTGTGGGAGGTCTGTGTTCGGGTTCGCTTCGTTGTCCTCAGGTAAAAACTGTGCCTTTGGTTCACAGTCAGAAGCATCTGACTCCAGCAGGTCGAAGTCCTCAAGATCACTCTGTAGGTCTGCACACTGCTGATCTGCATTAACGAACCATACGGACAACAATAAGTCTCTATGTGCCAGTCGAGCTTGAGCAAAACCAGGCAGCAAGCAAAACATGTTGGCAGATCGCTCAGGCCTTGCTTACCGGGGAGGTCTTTGTCACTCTTAGGTGGCTTCTCGGCTTCGTCGCTGTCGTCTTCACAGCCTCGGTCATCAGAGCTTTTACAAGCGCGCGGCGACCACGTCACCTTGTTCTCCTTCTTCAGTCTCCTGCGTGCGTTGGCAAACCATGTAGACACCTGAGAGAGGGAAGGAATGGAGATCAGAAAGGAACTTCAAATCATACAAACAAGAGAAGAAAGTACATTATATGGGAACGAAGAAAAGAACAATAAAGGAACGTTGAAAAACATCATATGGTGTATTTAAAAAAAAAAGTGGAATTGAGGAATAAAAAGAAAGACAAACGTGTTGTCAAATGTCTGATATTTTGCTAAAAGCCCACCTGTGTCAGAGTCATCCTGGTGATGATAGCAAGCATTATCTTCTCCCCCTTCGTTGGGTAGGGGTTCTTCTGGTGCTCCTGCAGCCAAGCCTTCAGGGTGCTGGTGGTCTCTCGGGTGGCATTTTTGCGACGTGAAGCACCGTCTGAGCAGGAATACCTGAGAGAGATGGTGACAATCGCAATAATAGTTAAAAAAAAAAAAAAAAGTAAACGTCTTTTTTGCTATAAAAATCCCACCATCATTTATCGACTATAAAATATTTGAATGATGTCTTAGGAGGGATATTATACCACAATCAAACCACTGCTGCATAGCATACACCAGCCCCAGACATTATTTCCCAATGTGGATATTAGAGTTATGGTGTAGTACTAAAATATAAAAACATAAAAGCATCATTATAAACTTGCAACAGACAACCTGGAAATATGTATCAGCAGCCCGAAGTAAATGATGTATAATGTCAATATATTAAAGTTTTCTTTTGAGAAAAGAGTCTTTAATTTACAGCCAATAAAAGCAGTCACTGACTTACCCATATCTGTCATAAGGATATTGTCCAAACGTGTATTCATATGGATAGTAGGCAGGAGTCTGAGATGTCCCCACATGCACAGATGCAGCTCCTTCTTTGGAATCTAGTGGCCCCTGAAAAATAAATGCCATAAATAAAATTCCAATCGAGCTTAAACTCTAAAAATATTCATTTATTTATTTCAGAAATGCTCTGGCGCAGGCTTCAGCGCTTGTTTGCTTCTCGTTCTCCTCCCTCCTTGTCTGTCTCTACTGACTTCTGCGCAATTGTACATTTTAAATTATTGCCAAAAGCATCAGTAAACCGACAGTGAAACGTGGCACTCACTCTGGAATAGAGAGCGTCGCTGGCGCAGGTGTTGTAATAGCTTTGGCTCTTTGGATAAGGGCCGCTGTAGACCCCGATGCCAGTTCCAGGGGTGAGCTGGTGACCCGGGGAGCGCAGCACCGAGTGGGACGGGGGAGTTCCCGCCTCCAGGCAGCCGGCCAGAGAGCTGGAGGTCATCAGAAACTATGGAGAAATGTATAGATCTAGTCTGGCCCATACATGAAAATCAGCCGCACACACTTAAAAACAGTCAGTGAATAAAGTAGTTGTTACTGGAAAAAAAAAAACTTTTTGTCGTGTGTTTACATTGGAGCTTAAATATGTGTCATCGTTTTACTTTACATGTTTTGTCCATTAATTTAATTTTTAAAAAGTTTTTTTTTAGCAGCCGGTTAGTGCGTCAAGCAAATGAATGCAGTAGAAACGCAGGAAGAACAACCCGTTCACGAGCTGTTTTTGTCACAATTTATAACGAGTCAGATTAAAAAATAATTTGTGGATGTCTATTTTGACCAGTTCTTAGGCTTCATGTCCTCTTTAGTCAGCTTAAAATCTCCAACAATAACAGCAAGAACAAAAGCATATTTACAGTACCTGTGGTGTGGTGGAGTAGGAGTATCCCAGCTGAGAGTAAGCCATGGTTCAAATAAGATCAAAAACGCAGGAGTGCAGGCGCGGGGCAACATCCAACAGCATCCGTACCAAACGCCGATTTTTTTTTTTCTTTTTGCCTCTGACGCCACTTCAGAGCGAGTTTTCCAGTGAACTTTCCAGTTTTTTAAAATTATTATTCTTTATTTACATCTGCACATCATCTACCACCTTTTCCAAATAAAGGCACGCAGACATTTACGCACGACTTTCATTTTACGCACCGCGATTCGCAGACTTTAAAAGTAACTTCTTGGCTTCACTTGCAGTTCCGCCTCATTCACCTCGCTGCCGCAGCTCCTACAGTGTCCCTGCGATCTTACAATCCAAATCCAGTTTGTGTGTGTCTACGTGAGTGTGTGTGTGTGTGTGATCAAACCATGCATCTCTCTCTGATGCGCTCTTTGGTTTTAAGGCGCGTCTCTCTGACGTCAGCCCGGACTCTGTGCGTGTAGCCCAGTGTTCACATCAAGATGAAGAAACTCACCTAATTAATTCCCTCCCAGTTTTCTTTCAGCTCTTATCCAAGAGAACAGCTCCGCGCAGCGCAAGTGCAATCCCAACAGTCCCCTAGGCGTAAAGAGAATGTGATCAATTCTGCTTTCCAAATAAACACACACAGCTGCATACATGGCACGCTTACGCACACGTCTACACACACATACACACACAAACACACGCACACGCACAAAACACAGTATGGCCAGAGGGGGGATCAGGGATGTGGTGATGCGTTGACACCACATTGACACGAGATGATTGATGACTACAACCTGATATTAGCATAATCGTTTTGCCCTGTAGTTTAGATAACTTGTCACCACGGAGAAGTCTCGCTGTCACCCACATATTCATGAGTGGGGAAATTTCAGGTCTCCTCCAAGCAAATTAATCAAAGAATAAACACTCCATGCATTCCCTTGAGTAAGCACCTTTAGCAGCTGAATGGCTTGTCATGTTTTTAATAACAAAGTCTTAAGCTGCCCTGACGAAGTGGAAACTGTTTTTTTTTTTTTTCCTTAATCCACCTTCAGATTTGTATTCATTTTTTTATATGTAGTAGCAGCTGAAGACTAATGCAGGTGTAAATGGCAAAATATTTAGATACATTTGTCCTAAATGGACAGAATTTTACTAAAAAATTAACTAAAATATGAATGTATGAACGTTACTAAAGCAGTATCTGGGGTCAAATAAGGATGGGGATTTTCTTGGTTTTCTTTGTGCACAGGTGAGGATAGTCCGAATATCTTAATTTGTTCATCACTGCAAACTTGTTATTCCCTGTTGAGATTTATTGTTAATCAAATACTTACACCGGAATGATAATTTTCATATTTGACTGTGCAAATACTGTCAGTGAATAACATCTCCATCATACATGTGTGTATATAGCATCGTCCAATCTACTCTCCATGGAGCGGTGAAGCACAGACACTGGAAGAACCCATAAAATTTTGCTTGACGTCCAGACCACTTTTGTTAAAACTGTGTGTTTGGGCATTGACCTTGGTGGAAGATTCAAGGTATCATACCTTTTTTCTTCTGCAAATTAAAATTCCTCTGCAGTCGCTGATTCAGCCCTAAAAATTAATGTGTGTGTGTCAATGTCCCGCATTTAAAAGTGTTTATCCAAGAAAGTAATCCCCATCTGCCTGAAAATGGCTCTGATCTATCTCTTTGAGAACGTGCACATCTTGTCTCTCCACTCACTGAAGCTCGAGCACACCAGCTCACCTACGACTCCGCTCAAACTCTGTGAAACTACTCCACATGGCACAGTAGAAGTAATGGCGTCATTTGGAGTAACTTAGCCATACAGCTATGTTTGAACCTGAAATTGATTCTGGTAAAAGCTAATGATGCAGACAGACTTTAGGTTTCTTATGTATGGAACCCTGACTGTTTGAATCCATGTTTTTAAGATTGTCGTCGGCACACTTCAGCTTCAACACAGAAATATCCATCCATGACTGCTTGTTTCACTCATGGTGTGTCTTCTAGTACATTAAAGTATAATTTGTTTTCTCAGTCTTTAAGTTTATACTATTGTTTATTAAATTAAATTTGTTGGGAGAACCTAGATTTTTTTCAGAGGCACTTTGTGTGAGTAAATGGAGCTTTAGTTTTAAGCTTGGAACTGAGGCAGCAGACTGTAGATTGGTTTACACAACAACAACACTTTTGGTTTAGGTTAAGGAAAGATCATGGTTTTAGTGAGTTTAGTCTAGCTCCCAACTTGTCACATACTGCTGCTGCTTTGTCAGAACCTCTGGGCATTACATTTAAACGCACCAAGTATCATTTACCATCAATTTTTTTTAATGCACCAATTCGTTCAAATTATGCACAAAAGTCCCTGAATGCTGGATAAGATGCCGTGAGAACACGGAGAAATTTCTCAGCTGATGTTGTCGCTCATGCTTCAGCCAACAAAAAGTTTGGCGAGTGACATGTGTGTAATGTTTTGAAAGAGTGTGTTTTACCCCAAACCATGATCTTTTCCAAACCACAAACAACTAATCTTGGTCCACAAATCAAAATAAGCTGCAAGTGTAAACAAAATATAGGTCACAAAATAAAACTAAGTAGAAAAACAGTGGTACATGAACTTCAATCTCCTGGGTGAAAGTCATGTCGAGAGGAGATGAGGGTGGATGGCTGGGCCAACACTGGCCTTTCATTTCCAATTTTAAACCAGTAGTCACTGTTACTTTTAAAAATGACTGTTCAACAACTATCACAGCATGTTTTTGTAATCATGATAGTGATGATCTTTTATTTTATTTCACTACGTCAAACCAACTTTTTCTTCCTTGATGTGCGCTATCCTTTGGGCACTGGATCAGTTTTAGCTGTTTCAATCTGAGTATAAACATATTGTTAATGTAGTTGGTGTCAGAGTGGATATGAAACAATTTCATGTGTAGAGTCATGCAAAAAAAAAAAAGGTGGTTTATGCTGCATTCATTTAACATCAGCAACAACAGTAAACTTTTGCACTAAATAAGATTTATTTTTGTGAAAATTTGTTTTGAGGATTATTTAATTTTGGAATTGATGTTATGAAAATCACCAATTCAGGAAACACTCTTTGTCATTCTGATTGGAAGAATTGTTGGTCTAAACACACTTATTAAAAAATAAAAAAAAGTAAAAGATGCTGAAGTCTCTATAAGCAGATCATGTATTTTGAGATTTGATATTTTTGATGAAAAACAATAAACTCCGTTGTCGGTAGGCCTTTTTACCATTATGTTCAGCTTATGCATTGTTTAGTCTTGCCGGATACATAATTAACCACGTTCTCTCCAAATGGTATTGAAGGAGAGTCGGCTAAGAACCTTTTCGTGCTCGAAGAAGTGAATGTGGAGAGGAGGGAAAGCCAAAAGAGGCCAACTTGAGGAGCCAAAGAAATCGATAATATTCAGGGGATCTGAAATGGAGCGAGGGGATGTGGAGGGGTAAAAGGACAAAATATTCCCAGTGCACCCAGAGTAAGGCTGGAACAACAGAGCCGCATCACCAGAAAGCATCTCGGTCCCCACCGGGGAGAAGGCATCTGTGTACCGGCGCTTGATTGACATTCCATTTGTCCCGTGAAAGGTGCTCATATACTGAACACGGACTAACTGTCTCCCCCTCATCTGTGCTCAAAGCTCGGAAATTAAGTTATCTCCCTGCGCTGGCGTTGCACATCTTCACACAAAAACATATGCCACTCAAAGAAAATGGCAATTTGTTTAGCCTCTGACAAAGAACATGACTGTGTTTAATCTTGGTTTTGTGTAGTTTATGGGGAAATAACTTGTGAGGGATGAATGAATGAATGGGGCGGCGATCTGGATGCAACTTCCAAAGCTTTTGTTACCTTCTTCCACAAAGAATGAACACACAGCATGCGTCGCACATGGAGATGCATGGATTATGTTATTCCCTCTTTTTGAATATTCAATCGGCTACTTATATATTAATATATGGTCTGTTTATAAATTTATGGCATTCCTCCAGTATATATTTCTTAAGGCTTTGCGTTCGTTAGACCGTGATTATATCTTTCTGATCTTGTTCCCCTCACATCAATCATTCATTCAAGATGCTCGGCACACAAAAAAAAAAAGAACGGAAACACATTCTTATTTCCTCCTTCCTGCATCCAGCCCCAGCTATTATGCAGTAGGTGGGGCGTGGGGGTTAATGATAGAAACATGTTAATGTGAGAGGAGGAGGAGGGCTAAGTACCGCAGAAAGTGTTTGCGAGAGAGGGCCAAACAAGCCCAATCACAAGTTCTTTCAATCACAGCGCGTCGCATTTGAACATTTTCTACCTTAAAGTCTGAAATCTATGCAATTTTAATCACTGTTTAACATGTAGATGCTTTTTGAGCCGTCATCTCGGTTTTAGCTATTTCACCTTGAAAAAAGATCTCTGGTGAGCGGCGCTGAAGGGCCTAAACTGGAATGAGAATGCATCTGGCAACCTGAGTAAAAGCATGAATTTAATGTTTGTTGTGTCAGAGTGGATACGAAATAATCTCGGGTGTAAAAAAAAAAAAAGGAGGAGAGAAAGAAATGAAACTGGGAGAATAGCTCGCCTGAATGTCCGCAAACAAAATCCACCCAGCAGGGAGTTTTAAAGCTGGCTGTTAGACATGTATTTAATCAGCACAAAAATAAAAATATGTATAAAAACTGTTGGGTTTATGCTGCATTCACTTAATGTCTGCAAGGACAGCAACACCTCCAAATATTCCAACTTCTGCAGTGTGAGATCAAATTCAATTTTGTGAAGGCTTGTTTTGAAGATTGTTTCATTCTGGAATTGATTCCTTTTGCATCCTGTCAATGCTGAACTAGTTGAGCTTTGGTGGAGTGATGCACTGTGCAGTGAAATGATGCTCAAGTCTCTTGGTGATGGATGCAGGTTTTGGTTTAGGTGCTGAATTACAGTACACATATTCCCCGTCTGGGCTGCAGGGTGGTGCAGT